GTGAACAGTTTTAGCAGAGCATAATGAGCCCTAATGTCACCCAGCAGATCTGATAATGGGTGGCTAAACTAGTTATCTGCTAATCAAATAGAATGTGTTCTTATTTGAAGGAGTGAATGAGAGGGCTATTCCAGGGAAACTAATCAGGCTGGAAGAAAAGTCAAGGTTTTATTGTAGGCAACATCAAAGTGGGAGGAGCAAGAATGTTGCAACAGTGCCGAAATATTATAAATAATGAAGGGGAGGCATTTAGGAATTCATACAACTTTAAGTGATTCAGGCGAGCGTATTTCTGTCGTCAGTGAAGAATGGGAACGAACTGGGAGAGGGATAGGAATGTCTGGGTGTTGAGAAAAATGAGGACGTGGTCTGAGATCACTGGCTCTGAATATGGGAGGAACATTTATTGAAGAGTGAGTGAATGGAAGGACAGTAAAAGGAGTAATTTGAGATGAATGTGGCAAATTTTGAGGCTAAAGACATGCCCACTGCAGTGCTGAAGGACAAAATGAGGGAGGATATTTCATTAAACTGCCAAAGTGGGACTTGGAGAACAATAAAGAACAAAATACACAAAGGAGAGCCAAAAGGGATTGAATAAGGGTCGATATTTGACAAGGAATATAATGTACCAGAAAAATAGGAGAGGTTGATTTGATGATGAGACTTTTACCACCTCCATGCAGGTTATGTTGTGTCAGAAATGCATAGCCAGGTGAGAATGCTTCAAGGAAGGGTTTAGGTGTCATTACCTGTAAGTAGAGTTTCTATTAGAATAACTAATGTAATTAAAAATGATGACCATCCAGGTTTATAACTATAATATATTCTCCATTTAATTGAACTAAATACTATATACAAATTTCATAATGAGAATTAAATTCAATCCATTGACTTTGATAATTACTTAATCTTTTAGTACCTCTTCATGAGAAACCAGAAAGGCTGTAGACTTGAAATGGGAATCAAAGCTATTCCCTTCCATAATTTATCAACCTGTTTGAGTGTAACTCCATGTCATTTTTGAGTTGAGCTCACAGCTGCTTTATTGATGAGTTCAGGAGAATCCTAAACAGTCATTATTGACCAATGCAGTGAAACAGGGGAGAATAGTCAAAGACAGAGACAACAGTAGCAGTAACTGGCAGGGCCACTTCAAACACCATAGTCACTGTGTCAACAGAGCAAGGCATGGGGATTAATATTCAAAAGGTCATTCAAAGCAAGAGCCAAAGGAACAACAGGTGGGATTTTCAGGTTATGCCAAAGTGAGTTTAGTCATGATAATGCATGGTCAAAATTTAATTTTATAAAACGCAGTCATTTTGGAGAAATTGCCTAGATAATCAGCAGTGGGCAAAAAGGAAGGCAACAGGAGTAGGCAGGCAGGAATTGAATTTAACCTTAACTGGATATGGACAGTAGAAAGGCAAAAGTTAGCAAAAACCTTGAAGGAGTTTTAAAAAAAAGCAGTTAACACTTAAACAGCTGTGTGCAACACTTAAATTGATATGTACACAAACAATTAACAATATGGCAGATAGAGGAATAGTATTTTAACTGTCATGCATCCGCTTCTCACTGAAAATTTGAAGGAAACTGGACATCTCTTCCAGGAACAAGATGTATCTGATTCAGTTATCAGGCAGGCATCACGTGGCTGCCCACTTCCAACATAAATAACCAACCTGTTCGAATTTACAATCTGTGGTCCACATTGGATTCAGAATTGAGAAGGCTACTTTCACATACACTGAGTGGTGGTCTGTCATGCATGTTGGGTCCACTTGAACCAGTTATTGAGCCGTTCCTTTGGGCCTACAATATTACATTGCTAGCTGTCCTGTCCATGCAAGGATCAGATCCCTCCTACCAAACAGACCTAATGGCCATGTAGAAGCCAAAAGCTTCTCAGCCTTTCAAAACCAAGGAGCCCACCAGTGTGCCCCTTGCCTTTGCCAGTTAACTTGAATTGAGGCCCAAACCAGAAGTTGGTTGGACCACTGGAACATTGCTTTGCATGAATGCTCGGTATATATCATTGACTTTGAAACTGAAGTTAAAATTTTTTTCAGAGAATCTCAAAATTTTGAAAGATTGTGAGGCTGATTTTTGCTGAAAGCAGAAAACTGGTGGTAGCATCCCACCCAGTTCCCCACCCTATCCCTGTAACCCCACATTTACCATGATTAATCCACATAGCCTACCCATCTCATGACACCATGGGCAATTTAGCATGGTCAATCCATCTAACTTGTACATCTTTGGACTGTGGGAGGAAATGGGAGCAGCCAGAGGAAACCCAAGCAGACATGGGGAGAATGTGCAAACTCCACAAACAAAGTCACCTGAGGGAGAAATTGAACCCAGGTCCCTGGCACAGTGAAGTAACATTGCTCACCACTGTGTTACCATGCCGTTCATATCTACCTATCTACCTATCTCTGAGAGTGAATACAATGCAACCTCATGGTTAATGGCTTTGACTGTGTGCACAATGGATCTTTTGAAAGAAGATCCCTTGAACATGATTTCTTTATCTCCTACTGTGACATGTTAAAATAAAATACTATTAAATAGATGACTGGATAGATAGGAACAGATGTATCATATCTGTATAGAGTCATAGAGGCATCCAGCAGGGAAACAGACCCTTCAGTCCAACTAGTTCATGTTGACCAGATATCGTAAATTAATCTGGTCCCATTTGCCAGCATTTGGCCCATATCCTACTAAACCCTTCCCATTCGTGTACCTTTCCAGGTGCCTTTTAAGTGTTGTAATTGTACCAGCCTCCACCACTTCCTCTGGCAGCTCCTTCCACCACCACCCTTTGCGTGAAAAAAGTTGCCCCTTAGGTCCCTTTAAAATCTTTCCCCTCTCACCTTAAAGTTATGCCATCTAGTTTTTGAACTGTCCCACCCCAGGGAAAAGTCCTTACCTATTTACTCTATCCATGCCCCGTATGATTTTATAAACTTCTGTAAGATCACCCCTCAGCCTCCGATGCTGCAAATAGCCCCAGCCTATTCAGCCTCTCCAACTCAAACTCTCCAAACCTGATAACATCTTTGTAAATCTTCTCTAAACCCTTTCAAGTTTCACAACATCCTTCCTGTATCAGGGAGACCAAAATTGAACACAGTATTCCCAAAGATGTCTAACCAATGTCCTGTACAGCCACAATATGATCTCCCAACTCCTATACTCAATGAACTGACCAATAAAGACAGTTGTACCAAACGCTGTCTGAGCTACCCTGTCTACCTGCGATTCCACTTTCAAGGAACCATTAACCTGAATTCCAAGGTCTCTTTGTTTGGCAACACTCCCCAGAATCTTACCGTTAAGTGTATAAGTCTTGCCCTGATTTGCCTTTCCCAAATGTAGCACCTCATGAAAATGGATATGAGTATATGGATAGAGTTATCATTGAAAACCCCATTAGGAAGATAATTAGGATGACAAGAGATGCTGTTTTTAATAATATGTAGATATAAATTGGCATTTCCACCATTATATATATTCCTGTTTAATTCATTCTATTGATGTTAAGTTCCAATATCTTGATCCAACAACAATAAAGGATATACTGATTGTTCATCATAAAGATTATTTTCTCATACTAACCTATTTCAATAGTATAAGTATATAAATAGCATTTTTTGAAATGAAATTCTTTCTTTGTCCTGTGGCATTACCAGTAGTTCATATTATGGCAAATGTGTATACATTGAGCCAGGTTAGATGTTCAGAAAGGACTGTTACTATATTGTAATTTTGTCACTATGTAGCTTATTAATTTTTGAGTATAGGTAACATTATCAGCTTATATAAAATTACAATTCCATAAATTATTAAAGTGCCTTACTCTACCAAATATAGTATACACAAAATAAGATTTAAAAATCATATTTCAACTTTTAAATCAATCAATCTGTCAAATTTTCTGTCCCTTAAGAGTGGAGACCATTTTATGCACAACATTTAGCAAGTTTCAATAAATGTGCATATCTATGAATTGCCTGTCCTGCTTTTAAATATCTGGCATCAATGATCACTGTACTTCACCACAATGTCACTTAACATTGTCAAAAGTTGCCTTTGTTATTTAATGCTTACATAAGGCTGCGTGTCTGGTGCTGTCAGAACTTTAGTTTTGCATGGAAATAACTTGGCTTAAGCGTTCTGTGTGTTTGTGTGAGTGTTTCAAAATTTTCATTTTGCAATATTCACCATTTTCTTTCTGAATTCACCAACTTGTTACACTTCTGATCTTTGAGTGGATCCTCTTTGGTTTGTTCATTTTTATTAATTTTGTTGTTGATTTGCAAAAGACTTTTTTTTGTTTAGTTGTCAGAACAACTAGGATGTTCCAAGGAAAGGATCTTACTTAATTTAAATAGCTTTTTCTTTACTATGTGCATTAAGGTTTGAGATTCTTCTTGTTGAAATGCCGGTTTGCAGCTGGTTCAGATAAAATGATATTCATTGCAGTTTTTCAGTTCTAGTTCCTCAACAAAAAAAAACAAGTTTTACTTTAAAATCGTTAGATTTAGAGGGCAACAAATGTTGTTCTGACAGTTTGCTAGTACTGGCTTTCTTTAAGAGGAAATCAGCTTTCTGTGGTTTCTGATCTTTTCCTTTAGACATGAATCTGTTACATCCAAACAATCTTGAGATGCCTATCTTTGTGTAAATCCACTGCTCCTATTTATTTCAGTTTGTTGATTTGTTGGTGCCCTGATTTAATTCAATTTGTTATTGCTTTGGTGTTGTACGTGGTGTGGATGTGTTCTGGTGAAAATAAAGCAAGTTATTTCCTGCCTATTTCTTCCCAATTTTGAGTTGGCTTTGCTTTGGCGGTTGTACCCACCCTCCGACCTTGTGGATCCCTGTCTACCATCAAAAAAAAATCCATTTTTATTTTGACCAATCACTTCAGGCTCTGTATTGTGTCATCCCGATTACATTTTCCAATCTCTGTTTTTTGTTTTGAATCCCATTTTTTAAAAAAAACGGAATCATTTCTGTCCAAAACGAAGATGGAGAAGCGGAGACCGAATCTGCTGAGATTTCTTCCATCATAAAATCGCATCTTATCCATGATGCCCCTGTACTAGCAAGCCCTGACTTGCTTTCAGATGTGTCTGACATGAAACAAGATTTAATCAAAGTGACTAAAATTTTAAAGACCGACTCAATGGCAGGAAGTAAAGAAAGCCCCATTGAGGTGAAAGAGTTTGCAAAAGCAGCCGAAGAAGAATCAGGTGAGCCATTTGAAATTGTAGAGAAAGTAAAGGAAGACTTGGAAAAAGTGAGCAAGATTTTAAGAAGTGGAACATACACAGGTGAAGAAGCTATTCAAGATGTCATCGGTGCTGAAAGAGATGAAGATTTATCAGAGGAAGACTGGATTATTATTAGTGATGAAGAAATTGAAGAGGTGAAACGAGAGATACCAGCAGAGGTCTGTGAACCTATATTTGTAGAACACAGGATTGATAGAGGAACCATAGAGACAATTGAGAAAGACATGAGTGGCATGCTGAATTATTTGGACAATGACTTAGATACATTCTTGACACATGAAGTAGTGATACCTTCAGCAATCTGCCAAATAGATACAGTTCAAGAAAGAATTGATGCAACGATTGTTACCAAAGAAAGTAAAAAGGGAACATATCACATGATTTCAGAATCAGTAGACTCCGAGGAGGGGAAAGAGCATGAATTATCTCTCAAAATCAAAGACGAAACTAAATTAGTTCCTGGAAAAACAAAACCTGTGTTTCAAAGATTTAAGGAAGAAAACACAACAATATATTTTAAGGATCCTGCATTTCAAGGCTTAGCTACAGATGATAGGACAGACCTTAGAAAAATGCAAGGGAATATTAGCACTGAATCTGACTTCACAAAGGTAGAGAAGGAAGAATCAACATTAGTGCCTCCAACAGTTGCAGATGATAATTCACCCCTAGTGGAAGAAACTCCAATTGGTTCAATAAAGGAGAAGGTAAAAGCTCTCCAGAAGCGTGTGGAAGCAGAGGAAGGACAACGTAGACAACCTAAAGCTCCAGTAAAGGATGAGATTCCCACAGCATCAACAAAACAAGTAATAAACAAAGAGACTCCAGTTCCTTCCACTGTTACAGAACGACTTGAAGAAACAATGTCAGTGCGTGAACTGATGAAAGCATTCCAGTCAGGACAAGATCCATCCAAGAAAATGTCTCGGCTGTTCCAACACACGTCTGAAACTTCGCACATTTTGAAAGAAGTAAAGAAACCTGAACAATCTCATCCTGTATGTGAAGGTCAACAAAGTCAACCTGATTTACTCTCCCATACAGTTGGTAAGAAAGCTAAGGCAGATGAGTTAGAATCTCCATCAAAAGAATCTCAGTCACAAATGTTCAAACAAGATATCCCACACAGCGAGTACAATGGCACAGTTCCAATTGGTCCAATTTCATATGACAGTGAGGAAGTAAGAAAAGAAGTTCCAGCAAAGAAAAGGACACCAGCAAGCAAAGATAAACAGCCAATAACAATATCGATTGAAAAAAATGATCTGAGTTTTGCAACCTCCGAGAAATATGAATCTGTTTTTCCTGAGGATATTGAAAAGCAAGCTGAAATTCACAGTAGCAGAATAGCTGTAAATGCGGATTTACAGATCAGTCCAGACAGAAAAACATCCACTGATTTCACGGATGTCATCAAAGAAGAGTTAGAAGATAATGACAAATATCAGCAATTTAGGAAAATTTCAGACACTCCAGAAGCAGAACTCTATCTTGAACAAGTAGTGACTAGTCCACTTCACCATGATCTGAATATTAGTTTCCCACAAGAATATGTGAAGGATGGTTTTACACCAGATGTATCATTGCAAAATGGTGCCCTTGATGACAGCTCAGAAAGCCTAAAACATGAAGGCATTGCTGACTCTCCCAGCTTTAGCTTAGGTGATGGCACACCTCAGATTAGCTCCGAAGAGAGTTACAAACATGAAGGTCTTGCAGAGACTCCTGAAACAAGCCCTGAAAGTCTGTCCCTTTCACCAAAGAAAACGGAAGATGAAACACAAGAAAAACATGATGCTGGAGATTTTGTCAAAACAGAGAGTAAGGACCAAAATGTTCAGAAAGACGCGCCTTCGAGACAGACCACTGATATTATTGTTGCCCCAGAAAAGGAAGGTGATCTTGTTACAAAATCTTCTGCCATGATTGGGGAGCTTGTCGATAACACTTCTTTGCAAAAGAAAATGCAAACATCTGAAAATATTGTCTCAACTGAAGTAGTTTCTGACATAAAAGACACAAAAGATTTTATTGATGGAACTGATGCTGAACTGACGACAGACTCTGGCTGCATAGAATATGATGAGTTTCAATCAACAGAGGTGACCCAAGCCACATCCCTTTTAGATGAAGTGGATGAGCAGACCACTAGTGAATCAGTCTCTGCTCTTAAAGCTGCAGATGATACTAGTGAAAAAGATGGTTTTCTACAGGAAGAAATAGCATCTTTCCCCATTCTGGATATACATGGTGTTTCATTGGGAAGTCAATTTGAAGACAAAGATGCAAACCTTTCTGTTTCCACATCAGAAGGGAAAACAGATATCGCTTTGAGAGAAAAGGACCAAAAAGTAGATTCACCTGTTAGCCCCTCAATTTCACCAGGGTACATGGCGAGAAGTCAAGGATTAGAATTATGCCTTACTGGAATATCATTAGATAGTCTTAGTCCAATGACAGATGAACCCATTGTCAGTCACAAAGATTCTCTAGAAGCAAGTCCCACACAGGATGATATTGACACAACTTCTCACAAATCTCCAGATTCACTTGAACCAAGCCCGATAAAAGAATCACCATGCCCAGATTCGCTTGAAAGTAGCCCTGTGGAACAGAAGTTAAGTGCAGCCCTTTCTAGTGCACAGCAAAATGAGAAGACAGCTTCCACCATAGTGACTGAGAAAAAAACAGAGAGAGTAGATATTTCTTTGGATACTACATCTGTAAGGAGTAGACTTTTCAGAGATATGCGGGGAGAAGGCCCTATTAACAGAGAGACAAGGAAACTTTTGTCACCTGAAGGAAGTGCAGAGGAAGATAGTTTGGATCAAGTATCACAAATGGAAAGTTCAGGAAAGAGCCCTCTTTCACCAGAAACTCCAAGCTCTGAGGAGATCAGCTACGAAATCACACCCAAAACACCTGATACACATATTCTGTCAGTGGCTGAGAAGCCCATTGCAATCCCTGAAATCCAAGAGGAAATTGATGATGATTCACCAGAGAGTGAATCAAAGAAAAGCTTTACACCCGAAGAAGAAATGTTTAAAATGGCAGCCAAAATTAAAACATTTGATGAACTAGAAGAAGATGCTAGGCTAAAGCGTGAAGGTAAAAAGGAACAAAAAGAATCTGAAATATCTCTAACTCCTCCTATAACTAATGTAGATGAAGCAGAGGTAATATTTGTATCTCATGCTGAACGTAGAAAGAGCTCCTCATCTTCAGAAAGTGAGCCAGAACTAACTCAGCTAAGCAAAGAGGCTGATTGTGGACTAAGTTTGGAACCAGTTATTCGAGTTGAACCTCCATCTCCACTTCCCCAAGGAGTTGATGGTTCTAGCCCTGAAGATGCAGAGTTTCGCCCCATTGTAGGCAAAAAATATACTTTTAAGATAATTAATGATGAAAAGGAAACAAGTGCCCAAGTAGCAGAAGATGATAATGACGTAGACATAAAAATAGAAAACAGAAGTTTGGACACAGATTTCAATGTTCTAGTTGATTCACGATCTTGTGAAGCAGTTCCGAAAGTTATCGTAACTGGTGGAGGTAATGAAATTGATCATTTTTCTGAAGTCTGTTCTTTTACAGCTACTGATGAGTCTATTGAAGAAATTAGTTCTTCAGAAGCATCACGTTTCATACCTGAAATGCAAGAGGATGATTTCTTAACTGAGGAAGATGTCCAACGTCTTGAGCGAGCTGCAGAAAAGAGAGATGAGCTATGGGTGGACGGTGTACCTGAAGATTCTCAAGTAAAAACAACTGGCACAAAGCAACTAGGCCAAGAGGCAGCTGTGGAAGCCACCACATCAATTGACTGTGCAGAATATAAAGGAATCTTTTCAGATGAAACCACGTTCCAGGACATAATCTCGAGGCAAGAAGCTGAAGAACAGCTAAGCAAAATAATAATAACAAAAACAGATGTTGATCTTGATGAATGGAACACTATTAGAGAAGATGATGAAGCATTTGCTGCCCGTCTTAAAGAGGAAGAACAGAAAATATTTGGCCTAATGGTTGACAAACAGTCTCGGGGTGCTACTCCAGATACAACACCGGTAAGAACGCCCACTGAGGATGGTACGCCAATCAATGAAAAAAATCCGTTCTTGTTTCAAGAAGGAAAACTGTTTGAGATGACCAGAAGTGGAGCTATTGATATGAGCAAAAGGACTTATGGAGATGAAAGTTTCCATTTTTTCCAAATTGGAGAAAGTCAAGCTGATGAAGCTTTAAAAGAAGAATCAAAAGTGGAGAAAATTGAAGAGGAGATGAAATCTCCTGAAATTGAATGTATGCCTGAAAGATTTGCTCATATTGAGTCTCATACTGAGTCTCAATACAGTTTGTTACCAGATTCCGTGTCCAATATCGAATCTGACATTCAATCCCCTACTGAGTCCCATTGCACAGATGAACAAATAGCTGCAAAAAATGAGCAAAAATCACGAATTCCAATCAAAATGGGCATTTCTGCAGCAACCAAGCCTTCAAAAAGGGACTCTTCAATTCCTGAAGTGGCTGAAGTAAAACCTTTCAACTTTGATCATGAAGTGGATGCTGTTACCTCTCCTGAGTCAGCAATGACTCATGTCCAGTTAGATTTTTCCACAGTGACTCGAGCAGTTTGTTCACAGCACGCTGGAAAGAGTGATGATGATTCATCAGACTCATCACCTGAAGAGCAACGTTCAGTTATTGAGATTCCTACTGCAATCGTTCAACAAACTTCTCAGACAGAGGCAAAATCAAAGCTTCCTGTCAGGCATACTGCCGTTGTAACTGCAGTACCTCGAGCACCAACTACGCCTGAGGACAAGGCCCCTTCACCAGCTCGTTCAACTCCATCAAGTGTTCAAGAAGGATCTGCAGATGATACAGTAAGGTCAAAATCTAGAATTCCTGTTAAGGCTGTTGCGCACAGATTAGACCACAGCTCTTCACCCACGATGCCAGAAGCAAAAAAGATTTCAGAGTCCGTCAAAATCCATGATGTGAAATCTAGATTGCCAGTAAGACAGGAACCACGAAGCAAGTCAGAGTCTGATGCTATCAATTCAGCAGAGAAGAAATTTAAACTCTTCAATAAGGGAAAGAGTTGTGATGCTGAACCTGATGCGAAAGAGCTAATTGACCAGTCTAGTGCTGGATCAGAAACAGCTGAAAGTACTAAACCAAAAGTATTCCAATCAAGACTTCCAGTAAAAACCAAAGCTAGCCACGGTCCACAACTTGCAACTAGTTCTTCTAAAGGCAACAAGGATAAGTTCTTTGAACTGTATAAACATTCCATTGAATTTTTTGAAGAGATAAGTGATGAGGCTTCAAAGTTGGTAGATCGTTTGACAGAGGAAGAACGAGATCATGAGGCGTTATCAGATGATGATAGCAGTGCTGTAGATAGTTCTATTGTTGAAACTGAGCAGCCCAGTGAAATACAACAGCCCCTTCCTGAAGACCTGTTTGATGTGAGACCTATCTGGGATGAATCTGTTGAAACCCAGATTGAAAGAATTCCTGAAGAAAATGGCCACGATCACTTTGAAGGTACCAGCCATCTACTGAGGTTCTTTGTGCTATAGAGCACCAAAATGTGTAGATAGCTTTGCAGTTCATTCAGTTAAAGCTTGTGATTGTTCATGTGGTCCTGTGAGTCTGTGTTGTGGCTTTGTGATTCTCATGTTTTGTGATGCTACTAGACTGATCTCAAGATTGGCAAGGAGGGAAGGGAAAGAGGGGGCATCAGATTTAGATCAGACAAAAACAGTGGCAATTCATTAATAGGAACTAGCATTAGTAGCGAAGCAATCTTTGATTATTTTGAATTTGATTTCCCATTTTATGCAAGAAGTATTGTGGAAATGAATAAATGGGCTTAAGCCATCACAGCTAATTATCAGGGGTCTGATTTTAACTCCTATATGTGGACGGCTTTAAGAAAGTTAAAATCAGGCCCAGAGTGTCAAATGCGATTCAGACTTGAATTTCACAATCGGTTCATAAAATAAATGACTGTTCGTTAAGAACACTTCTTTGATGAATATATTTTCAGAATTTTGCAAAATATATTTTAAAAGTGTTCAACTGTAGTATAATGCAATAAGTTCCATTTATATAACATGTTTCATAAAGCTTCTTTATTTAAACTGGGAAAATTGAAATTCAAAAAGAGACCACTGCAAATCCAGCTTCATTGGTAATAGAGAGACAATGACATTACTTACACTGACATTACCAGTTTGGAGTGAGATAGAAAAGTGAGCTATTTCTTTATGCACCTACTCAAAAGAAAGGTTTGAGTGCGAAGGATTATAGAAACATCAATGCACTGTTCATCTCCAACTAAGGTGTTTTATTATTCCTTATCAATATAAAAATTGATGGAAAGGGCATCTGTGGTGCAGTGGTATGTCTCTACCTCTGAGCTGGGAGGCTTGCTTCAAGTCCCATCTGCTTTAGAGGTATGCAATAACATCCCTGATCAGGTCGATTAGGACTTATCTAAAATTGGATGGAGAAATGCTGCTGGTGTTTGCGTCAAGCTAAATCACCTTACCAAATAAACAAAGTTAACATATGCTTGAAATTGGTATATGTTCATTTTCCTATGGCTTAAATAAAATTGCACAAGTAATATTCCCTTCAAAAGTTCTATTTTATAAAAAAAACCCTATTTTACAAAAAAAAATACGAAATATTCACAATTAACATGCTTTTTATTCAAATACCAGAAGCTCTCCCCTTACCTTACTAAGGGAGTTGAAGGGAGTGGTATTTTTCTCACAGTAAGTTATAAGCAAAGTGAGATAGGAAATGATTATAGAAAGAAAAAAATGAGATTTCGAGTGACATTTGTTACATAAAGGATTTGGCATTGAAAGAGCAGCTCAGTGGTTGAGGGTCCAAGTTCTACCATGACAAATTATGGAATTGATCTCAATAAATGGAACTGGCATGAATGAGCATGTAGGCTGTAGAATTTTGGGGGGAAAAGTGATTCAATAATATCCATCAATAAGGAGAACCTGCCATCTCTCCTCAGTCTGATTTGCACATTACTCCAGACCTACACAATGTGGTGAGTCAATAATATCCCAGAGAAATTAGAGAGATTTAGTAAATACTGTCTTGCCCGTGTTGCCCGCATCCCAGGAATAACTATTAAAAATGCAAGATGTTTAGTCAAGATTTTTTTTTTTCACCTGCAGAATGCTTCAAGTAAATACCTTCCATGATATTTGCAATATATGCAGATATTTTTGCCAAGCATGAAACTGTGACACCAAAGTATATATTGAAATATAAAAATGATGCCATTGCTTACTATGGTGTAACAATATATATATTTTTAATTTACATCTCAGAGTAAAGGAGCACACTTGATTTCAAATTTGAAATTATGTCTTGAGTCTTCAAGCTAAAACTCTGTAGCATGTGTGACTATGAGAACCTAACTATAAATCTGATACTGAGATTCCTAAGTATAATCCACATACAAGAGGTTAAATTGTCATGGGAATTCTCCCAGTCACGTGCTGAGCTCCTACAGAAGAGTGGTGAGACCAGTCAGTAATAACATGGATGATTTTTACAATGTGGTAGCAACATTTCTGTGGTTTTTCCACCCAAGTGACATTAGATAAGTGGGAATTCCTTTGCAGAGGTTTAATCCTTGTATATTTCAACCACAGAGGTGGGGCGAGTAAAGCATCACACTCAATTGTATTCAATTTTTTGTTCTTGGGTTGGGTGCACAGGGAGAGGAGAAACTTGGCTGCTCAAACCCAACTTTAAAAATAGCCTCCCGCACATTGCATTTTTGGTCCAGGGAACCTAGACTCGAGTGTGAATTGGGCTGAAAGTGGGCTGAAACTGGAACCACAGAGGAGGCTGTTGTTACCCAGACAGGATGGATGGAAAAGTTGCCTGGGGAACCTGGTGTTCTTTATAAATGAAATTTTGTAAGAAATAATAATTTAAATAAGTTTTTTTTAAAAAAAAGATTAAAACACAAAGCATTCCTCCTGCTATCACCCCTCATCCTGTATCCTTACTGACGCATACTCTGTACACACCCTCCCGGACCCCACACCCTCCATACCTACCTGTGCCCCTCTGCACACTTCTCATACTAATCTATGCCCTGAATCCACAAAGCATGGCCCATCACTCATTCTATACCACACTTTTATTTTTATCTATCTACTGTCCATACTCCTCATGCCTCCTATGGCCTTTATAGACTTTATCAACACATTCTTCCCAAACCCATAACTTTGGCTTTTCCTTTTCCATGACAATTCACCTTCCACCATGTGTATAGATATAGGTGTATGTGTGTATATATATGTGTGTGTGTGTGTGTGTGTGTGTGTGTGTGTGTGTGTGTGTGTGT